GAAACTATTTTTATATTTTTTCAATTTTTGAGCTTTAAAAAATAGAATTAAAATTAATAATAAAGTGAAATCCTATAGAAATAAACTCAAATAAATATTCTAAAAAATACTAGGACTATTAAAGGTAATTCTAACGTGGGGGTCAAAAATTACGTGCTTACAGGTCATACTTGCATATTATCTACCAAAATAAGTTTTAATTAAAAAATTTCAAGTATACCGACCGAAATCGGTCGGAAATTTGAAATTATTTTTTCCCGCCCATGGGCAATATATATATAAAATCTACCGATCCATTNATATATATATATTCCTTAATTAAAATTAATTTTGACTATTTCACTAAATATCGATCGACTTCGGTCGGTTATTTTAAAAATAAAAAATAAAAAATCAGATTTTCGACACAATTTGGTCGGTAAGTTTATGATCAAACGGTCAATATTTCACTTAAATGTACCGACCGCCGTTTTCGACCGAAGTCGGTCGAAAATCTGCAAATTAGAGCCCACCAACGGGCTTTCTTCCCTATTTTTTAATTTTCTCTATCTCTCATTCTCTCATCCACCTTCAACCCTAAGGCGATTTCGCCCAAATCCCACCCAAAATCTATTCCTACTTTCATTCTCCCCCAAAATCAAAGCCCAAAATCATCCCCATTACCTTCTTCGCACAAATCCTCGATTCCACTGCCTCACCACCGACGTCGCCGCTGCTTTTTCCACCACATGCCTCCCTTCTCACTACTGCTCAATCGCCGCTACTTCTACCACGTGAAGGATAGTCACCTAGTTCTTTTTAAGCTACTTTAATTCTTAAAATTTAAGGTTTAATTTATTGTTCTATTTTTGTTTATTGCTTTTAGAAATTTAAGGTTTATTAATGTAGGGTTTAATTTATTGTTCTATTTTTGTTTATTATTTTTAGAAATAATTTATTATTTTTGGGTTTAATTTATAGTTCTATTAGTGTTTATTGCTTTTAGAAATTTAGGGTTTATTAATTTAGGGGATAATATTGTTCTATTAGTGTTTATTGCTTTTAGAAAATTAGGCTAAACTAATTATGCTATATTAATTGAATGAGTTAGTCTAATTGAATGTGTTAACAAATTATAACCTTTATGAGTTAGTCTAATGTGTCGCTCAAAATTTTCAATGTGTCGCTCAGTGACTTCGTGAGTCAATTTGGCTATGATGCTGTATATTCTACCTTTGAGGCATGGTTTAAATAGTGTGTAAGTGCATCTTACATACTTTCTCACATGTGAATATACATACTTGGTCACTTATGAATATACTTGTTCACTTGTGATTTATTAGCACTACATGTAGGTTAATAATCCAAACAACGGTGTTAATCAATTTTTGAAAGATATATCTTGGGGACCTGCACCTACGGTTATAACTATGTCTAAATATTTTATAAATGGTTACAAATTTCACACCGATGAATGATCCAAGTATAAAAAAAGTAATAACAGTAGGGGGGTGTCAAAGGTGGTGAAGGCAACCATGATGGGGAAAATAATTATTATGGTGTGATCAAAGAGATTCTAGAATTATCATATTCAGGTTGGACAAATAAGAAGATCATACTTTTCGATTGCAAGTGGTTTGACCCAACACCTAGAAGAGGTACAAATATATACTCGCAGTACAACATAATTGAGGTTAATAAAAAGTGGGAGCATGATCACTATGATCCTTTTATAATTGCAGAAAAAGTTAGACAAGTATATTATGCTCCATATCCATTGTGGAGGGATAAGGTTAATTGGTTGGTTGTAATCAAAACTAAGCATGTTGGTAGGATGGAAGTTGAGAATGTGCTAGATGTTGCTTACCAAAACGATACCTCAAGTATTAACCAAATGATGGATGATCAGTTAGAAATTGACTTAGAGCATCCTCAACGCATATTAGAAGAAGTTGATATGGAGGAAATAACAATCATAGAAAATGAGAATGAAAAATCAGTTGATGAAAATGAAATAACAGATGAAGAAGAATTTTCGGACGAGGAAGGATACTTCGAAGGCGGCTAGCATGTTAGTTTCTTCAAGCGCTCTCAATTTATATAGATTTATATTCTCAATTCTAATATTTTTTTAAGCGGTAGGGGTCGAGGTAGGTCTAGGAAGGATAAGGGGCCTATTGATCATGAGGATGGTGCTACACCCTCACTTCCTTCCACTCCACACTTGCATCCCTCAGCTGTTGATGGCCGGCAGCAATCTTCTAGGCATACATCTTTTTCACCACATCCATCTACTCATCACACTACCTACCATTCGCTATCCCAGCAATATTCTTACCATTCTCCACCACAAGGCTATACCCCACTTCCTCCACATGATCTTGCATAAGTTACATGGGTCCATCGAGTCATCAGTCATAGGGACATATGGTGATACACCCGTCATCTGCTCCATTTGCTTCACCACCAGCTCGATCACATTCATCTAGATTTCAGCCACCCGGATCGCAGCAGTAGTCTGGAGCGCAGCAGGGGTCTAGATCGCATCCATCTTCATCAGCGACCCCGTCTCCCTCTCCATCGAGTTTGTCTCCTATCATTTCTAGACTTTGCCTTCGGGATAGTAGCGCTGAGCCAGATGCCTCCCCTTCTACGCACGCTTCAGATTCATCTAAGGATGATGATCCAGAGGAAGTGTGATATAATCGTTATCATAGGATGATCATCAGGCCTGAGGGCAATGAGTAAGATTTATTTATTACTTTTTTATTTTTGCTGAATTATAATAGCTAGTCTTGTTTAGTTAATATAATTGCTATGTTACAGGTTCATACATAGTCATGAGACTACAAAGATAATCACTGAACTTTCTGTTTTGCTCGGAAGAAGAGCAAGAAACCTTCCTGGGTTCTACCGCACATATGGGAGGATCTGCTAAGGTAGTGGACTACTGAGAAATTTGAGAAGAGGAGTGAACAACGAAAGAAGGTCCGAGCATCTAAGAAGGATGGCTCCTTGCACTGTGTGGGTGCAAGGATCATGGGGACTGTGAGGAGACTACTGGTAATTCCTTAAAATATTTAATTATATTTTTATCGAACTATATTTATATATTTTAATTTTGGTAACAAGTTGTATTATATTTGTAGGAAAAAAATATGGGAGGAAGATGACTCATGATGAGTTCTTCATGGAGACTCATATCCGGAAGAAGAAAGCATCGACAGGTCCAACTAGATGGGTTGAGGACCGTGCAGAGACTACATATGTAAGTTTCATAACTACTATAACTTGAAATTAATATTTATAATATTATATAGTTAATAATTTTCTATTTTCTAAATAAATGGTAGCTACAAGACTAATGTGGAGGAGTACACTCAGAGCTTGCCATCGAATGAGCAAGGCGAGTGACCACCCCTTTCAAACGAAGAAGCGCAGAAGATATGGTTGGATGTAGTCGGTTGTCCTAAAAAGGGGATAGCATATGGCCTTTCAGAGAGATTATTCCGGTGCTATAGGGCTGGATTGCAAGGTATAGGATCTGCCGCCCAGGGCGAGGCAATTGATAGGTCGACTCTCTCATCTATGGAGAAGAAGATCACAAAGCTGACAACAGAGCTTGAAGAGACAAAGGCTAGAGAACAAAAGAGAGATAAACAATTTGATACCCTTCAAGTTCAGCTAGAAAAGAGGGACCAACAATTTAATATCCTTCAAGGTCAGCTGGTCAATCTTCTTGCTAGTGGTGCTTTCTCCATTCTCCGGTCTCGTGAGCCTTCCCCATATGTGTCTCCATCTCGCCGTGATCCTTCAAACCATGCCGATGATGAAGGTTCTAGTAGTGGAGATGGAGATGATGTAGTATAAAACACTCATTGAATGATGTTTGAACTTTTAACTTGTGAAACGTTTTGTTGTTGGGTATGATATTTTGTTAATATAGTTTAGTGGAGATGGAGATGATGTTTTGTTAATATAGTTTTGAGAGTTGTTATTGTTGTTGTTATTGGTTGAATGACAGCAATATAATGCTGTCATTATAGGTGATTGGTTGTTGGCAGGTGGTGCAGCTATAAAACAGTTGTATTCTGCCAAAAGCTTACCCAGAAAACCGACCGCCTACCGACCAAGGTCGATCGGAAATGTTCAGTTGATTTCCCAAAAATTTAAATTTACCGACCGACTTCAGTCGGAATTTTTGATTTTAAATATTAAATATTTTAATAATACCGACCAACTTCGGTCGAAATTTTTGATTTTAAATTTTAAATATTTTAATAATACCGACCGATTTCGGTCAGAATTGAACAATTTTTAAAAAATGAATAATTAAAATTTCAACCGAAGTCGATCGCTAATTTTAAAAATAATTAAAAATTATTTTCAAGAATACCAACCGAATTCGGTCGGTAAGTTTATTTTGTGTCAGAATATTGGTCAAAGTGCGTTGAAGATTACCGACCGACTTCTGTCGGAAATATCGATTGCCTACGGTCGATAGCCGTTAGCGACCATTATTTTTTCGACGAATTGAAAACGATCGAAAATCGATCGGTTTTTGTTCGATTCCGACCGATTTTGGTCTGTTTTTCTGGACGTTTTTTGACAGTTTTTTAGTAGCGATACGAGCATTGTCTCATGTCTATTAGTCTATAGCTCAAAACACTAAGAGTAGATAGTTTCAGGAACTTCCAATATTGTATAAATTTAAATGGTTTCTCGTGGTTGGATTATGAAGCTGAATCATTACTTGCCCCACTGTGGGCTGAATTTCCTCTGCTGGCCGCTAATTGGTAGTTGCATACTGAAACTCCGATCAAATAAGATGCTAAATGTGAAACAAATTGCTATTTGCAGCAAGAATCAGATATTACAAAAATCACGTCTTTCAAATTATAAAGTCAAAACTAAATTATTTATCTGTGTAATACAAAAAGAATAACGTAACCTCAAAATACTTGTTTATTAAACAACTTGTCTTGTTTCATAATTATACACCAATGTACCGTATAATTTTTAATATAGACAACAAGTTATTTACACAATCTATAAGTTGCAAACCAAACCTTAGAAGAAAATAATTGAAGGATTAACTTATTTACACCGACAATGTAAAGAGTTTTTACACGGTCAATGTAATTCAACTAGTTATAAGTGCCTTATTCAACAACATCATGAAGCTTTTTATGATCAACATCTCGGAAATCTTTGGTGGATTGAGACCTTTGGACGCGACTAAATCTGTTCATCGCATCCTTCTTGCTGTTGTTAGCTCTGCTTCTTCTAGCATTTGGCAAAGGAGGTCTATTCTTGATGTTCCTAATAGCATTGGGATCAGATTCAGTACTACTTGGAGAACTCTGTGGACTCTCTTCTTTCTCAGTTGGCTTTGAAGTGCTTGAGGATGTGCTTGCTGTTGTAGTAGTAGTGGTAGTGCTGCTTCCTGGCTCTAGTAGAGTAAAGACTGTTGTAACTCTACTCTTTGTTGGCTCCTGAAACATGTACATTCGTTCATTTTTAATGATCGATCTCTCACATACGCAGAATATTAAACGATGATAATTGTTTTCAAGGTCTTCATTAGAAGTCTTTAGTGCTTTATGGGAGCATAAAATGAGAAATGTACCTCATAAGAGCCAACATTATCTGGTTTTGTTTCATCTGCTTCTATTATTTTCTTTTTGCGTTCCTTTTGTGATTGAGAGCGTTGTCGAGTCTTGTGCCTGTAGGAAAGGAAAATGGATTAACGAGACCTTGAATGTCAAGTCACTTTAACAGAGATTTAAGCTTGAGATTAGATGATTCAGTCTATGTAATGAGCTTACAGTACCAGAACAGGAACATGAAACTTTTTGTTAAAAATCACTGTTGTTTTGTTAGTGTAGTGTTATAGATAGGGCTTATATAATTTTTGCTGCAATTTGTATAGTTTTTCTTGTTCGCAAAAAACAACGTGGATCGAGACTAAGCTTAGTGATATTCGTGAAGAAAATGGACTATGGACCTAACTCAGACCCAAAAGCTAAGACTTGAGGTACGGATTGTCAAATACTAAATGAAGAGATTACAAACCATAACCCTCAACTACTGCCTGACTCTAATAACATTAAACACAGAATTCTGACATTTCAAGAAGACGATTTGGGCGTATAAATGAGCTCACTTACCTTCTCCTCTCAAGCTTTAACACTGTCTCAGGTTCCTCCTTATACACTACAGGCAGCTCCGAGAGTTCACATGCCAATGGGCTTGTACGAAAGAACTGCTTTGAAACATTTTACAAAATCAAGAGACATAAGAACTTCATTTAACAAACACTTCTCATCGAACTTACAGTTAGAATGACATTGAATGTTGTATGTCAATTAACATTTACCTCAACTTGAAGAGCTGAACCTGCAGAACCGCGATTTGCAGGATCTAAAGCAAGAAGAACGTTTAGAAGCCTCCAAGAAGATACAGGAAAGTGCCTGAAAGCTTCCTTCTTGTTAGACCTATAGGTATATGGTGGTCTGAATGTAGTTGAAAGTTTTGTTTTCCTCCAGTAATCCTCTGTAGGCGTACCACAAAGCTTGAATATCTTGTGCAGCTGCTCCACCTAAAGCATTTTTCAACAATTATACCACCCTTTAGGATATGTTTAATCAAATGACAATTGATGAGAAACATTGAAGTTTTTTTTCTAAGTTAGGGTAGTACCTCTGTGCGACCGGGCAGAATAGGTCTGCCCGCAAACATTTCAGCCATGAGGCAGCCAGCACTCCAAAGATCAATACCTGTTCCATAATCTGTAGCACCTAATAGTAGTTCTGGAGCTCTGTACCAAAGTGTGACAACTCGACTAGTAAGAGAACGCTTTTCTTCAGGATTGAAGTAGTTTGCAAGTCCAAAATCTGCAATTTTTAGCATCCCATTTTTGTCAATCAACAAATTGGATCCCTTAATGTCTCGATGCAAAATACCCCTCTCGTGGCAATGCTCCAGCCCTGCAAGTAGCTGTTGCATGTAACACTTTATCTACACAAAGACAAATGCTTTCAAAATCAGCAATTGCAATGGCAAACATCAAATATTGAAAAGAATTATGGATTGAAAATGTACTGACCTGTGCTTCACTAAGTCTCATATCAGGCCGAGATATTATGCTGGTAAGATCAGACTGCATATATTCGAAAACTATATAAAGACTATATTGCATTCTGGAGGTAGCCAGTCCTTCAAGCTTTATGATATTAGGATGGTCCAATTTCTGCAAGATCATAATCTCTCGAGCCATGAACTTTATACTCTCCGGTTCTGAGGTATCAAATCGGACTTTCTTTAAGGCAACGATCTTCCCTGTATCCCTATCTCGCGCTTTATACACGTTGCTATAAGTACCTGAACCTACCTAAAATATCAAAACCTTGCATCAAATTAATTTTCAATACTCAGCTTTGTTCTTTACCATTGCATCCAAAACATTCTCGAAACAAAATTATAGCACAAACTTGGTCTAATTTAAGCCTGATGTTTCTTAATTACACAAGAATATTCATTGGAAATGTCTAGTGTCAATCAAAGGGAAGGGACAGAGCAAAGAAGCAGAAGGCTAGAGTTAAATATAACTTTAAGAGTGGAAGTTATATGCACTAACAGTGTAAATTTCCTTACACTAACTTAACCGGTTATAGCATGTTATTACTCTATTTTTCAGGTTGGCATAAGGAGAGTAACCAGTTGTTGTTGGTCAACTTAACGTGACAATGCACATAATTCCACTGGTAAAATGGATAAGAAAGAAGAGACAAACCTTGTCAATTTTGTCATAAGAATCAGCACTTTTTGGGACTAAACCAGCCAAAGCTTCTCTTGGAATATTATCAACTAGCCATTTTGGCCATCCATCTATTAACTCTTGTTCATCAGTTGTTGTCTTGGTAATTGTCCTAGCAACATCATTGCTTTCTTCAGTTTGTCTTTTTCCCTCGCTCGTCGTCGCCAAATTTCTTTCATGGATAATATGATCTCTATAAGTATCACTCAATCTCCTAACATCACCATAACCTGCAGCATTATTCTTCTCCCTTTGCTCATGAGGCCTCTGTCCAGTGGACCTCCTTGGTCTAACATGTTGATCACCTCTAGCAACATATCCACTCTCCAATTTCAATTTCTCTAATCCCTGAGGTGGCGAATGCATTGAAGGTTTTGCTTGAGCACACCCCATAAGTTGCAATATCTTTTCAAGATTCTCAAATAGTTGTAAGCATATACAAGGTCATGAATTCTTCATCAAAAGAACAAACAGAAGACATATGGAGAACAGAGAAGAAAAACACTGCAGGCTGAGTGAAAACTTGGAGAAAATATCTTGAGAAATAGAGGGAAGTTGATGAAAGTGACAAGAAAGCCGGCAGGCCGGCCATTTTTTCAGAATAACCTTAATGTGTCTTCATGTTATTGTTCTGTGCTCCATTAGATGACATATTAATTTAGCTTATTCGAATAAAATGAGTTAAGCACGTGTTAAATAGGTTATAAATGCCAATATTTGTTTCATGGGTTTAACTAGCTTCCATACATTAAGATTACCAAAAAGATAATTATAAATATCGTCCGTCGAATTAATAACATGAGAAACAAAGCATGCAACTTGTTATGACAAGCTAAATAACACCGATAGCATAAAATTTTTTACCTTGTCACTCTCTCTATATATGTGTGTGTTAAATCCTTGTTTTCTATGTATACATTGTTTCTCTTTCTCTTTTCTCCCCTTCTCGCTTTTAAGTAATAAGAACTTATAGAAGTTTCATAACACTGCAAAAACTTTTTATTACATCTTTTCAAGTTGAAAAAGAACATTTTGATAAGGAAAGGTAAGATTTATCGTGACTTGTGTGTCGTCTTCTTTATTGTGTTAGTACTAAGAGGCGGAATTAATCTTAGTAAATCATGATACGACGCCACAGCTATTTTATTGCTGTGGCAAATGGTTGCTAGTGATTTGAATTATTGATTAGCAGCTACTGCCAAAAATTTGTTGTCTTGAACAAGAAAATTTCTACTATATTACGTACGTAACTACGTAATAAGGAACATGTTAATATCAGCATATTGCCATATTGACCGGTTTTGCTATAACTGAAAAACTTCTCGAATCATTTTTCTAATTTTTAAAAAAATGGAAAACATTAGATGACGTTTGGTTGACTTTCCGCGAATTATTTTATTTATCTATAAATTTTGATTCCGGGAAAAAATATTAACCTGTTTTTGTAACAGACGCCTCCTAGTTTTGACAGTTCTTTAGAAACCTTTTATAAATATTTTCAATTTTTTTGGGTTTTAAATAGGGTTGAGGCACTTGTCGAACTAAACTTTGAGAACAGAAAGAAATTTCTTAAAGATAACGACCGTCCAGATGCGTTAACTTCTTTGGGAACATTTCTAGAAAAATTTGTTCTAAAGGGATTTTTTGGATAACTAGTAAATTTATTATAAATATTAAGCATTCACTTTGTTAATAAAAAAATTAACCCAGCGTAGATTGAACTTTTTTCTCTCTCTAGAAATTCTCTCTCGGCGTACGATTAGGTGAGCTAACGTGCGCAGTAGTCGGAGATGCCTAGAGGGTGGCCGAAAGCTACCAAAGTAGCTGCTAGACATGCAACGGAGGTAATCAAAGAAGCTCAGGGAGTGCGTAGCATAGAGAAATTGGAAAAAAGTAACACTGGACTGAAAACACCTAGTGGTACACCAATTGAGGGTATACGAGGTGCAGAGCCGGTGCCGGAACAACAACGGATTACGTTACTGCAAACACCACTTGCAGATGTAGGAGTGGTAATCCAAGGAAAAACCCTAAGCAATCAGCCGCTAACGAGATCTAAAGAAGGGGAAATCCAAATTGCTATATCAGGAGGGGAAATCCAAATTGCTATATCAGGAGGTGAAGGTTCGAGCAAGAGGAGCTTATCAATTGAAGGAGGAGCAATTGGCATGTCTATTGACCCCGGGAGATTACAAATTGATGTGAGTAAAGCATAGAATAAGCTTCTTAATGCACAGTCAGAGGAGAAGAGGGACTGGGCAACACTCTTTAATAGGAACAAAATGACAGAAAGAGGGATGAATCTTACATATATATCGCCCCAATCATACAAGATGGAGAAAAGATCGTTGAACTTAATAAAGAGGAAATTGAGAAAGGCAGCGCAAAATGGAGGCAAGCCCTAATCCTATATGTTGCAGGAGAGGATATCCGACTATTGAGGCCCAAGAAAGATTTATTACTACAACATGGAATTTTGCCTCAAAGCCAAAGGTATTTTACCATAATGATGGATAATTTGTAGTTTGCTTTAATAGTTTGGAAGACAAAGATGTCGTTCTATGTTCTGGGCCATAGACGATAAATAGCAAACCAATTATCATCAAAGCTTGGGCACCTACGTTTAATTTTCATAGTGAAGTTTTGCAAACGATCCCTCTATAGGTGAAATTGCCAAACTTGCCTCTAAGTTGCTGGGAAAGAGAGATACTAAGCAGAATTGGAAGTGGGCTTGGAGTTCCTGTTTATGCAGATGAATGCACAACAAAGGTGGAAAGAATATCATATGCTTGATTACTAGTGGAAATGGATGTTACTAGGTCTTTACCAAAGACTATTAAGGTCAAAGATCCGACGGGAGATGTTTATGACTAAGAGATAGTATATGATTCTGTACCGGAGTACTGTCATACTTGCTTACAGGCTGGGCATTCATGCAATCCGATTCAGAATAAGAAGCCACTTGTAGGGCAGCAAAGAGGTGGAGCTATAAAATCAAAGGCACAATGGGTGAGACGCACAGGAAACAATCAAGGGAATGAGGAGCAGAATGCTCCAGAAATTCAAGGGAAAAAGGCAAAGGCGAAACAGATTGAAGGAAAGCAAAATGAGATAGAAGGACCAAGAAAAGAATCCAATGCTGAAGGTGATCAATTACAAGAAGGCCAATGACAAATAGTTCGAAACAAGTCAGCTACAAAGGGGAGCTATAATACAGGGCAATGGAATAATTTTGGTGAAGGTAAAATGACTCATACTGCACTAGCCGGGAGAGAGAAGCCTGTTGAAGAGGTGAATGGATTTGATCCTCTAAGTAGACCTAATATATTGCTTGAAGGATAAGGAATGATAAATAACACAAGAATGAATGAAGGAAGACAATGGGAGCATAAACATTATACGCATATGTTCATTCCCACATGAAGATAGCTACATGGAATGTGAGAGGTCTTAATAAGACCTATAAGCAAAAGGAGTTAAAGATGTTTATGAATAATAATAATAATATAGTAATGATAGCAATAATAGAGCATAGAGTCAAAGAAAATAAGGATGCAATAATTCTAAGGAAAATAGTGAATAGGTGGAGCTGGTGTCACAATTATAACCACAATAGGAGAGGCAAAATTGGGATAGTATGGGACCAAAATGCTGTCAAATTTGATGTTGAGCAGACGACAGAACAGTTTTTTTATGGAAAAATTACAGTGTGTAATTTGGGCATGGAATTTTATTTTATAGTCGTGTATGGCTTGCACACAATAGAAGACAGAAGAGGGTTGTGGGAAGCTTTAAGGAGTATACAGAGTTCACAACAGGTCCATTGGCTTGCCATGGGTGATTATAATGCAGTATTACAGGTCGAAGATAGGAAGTATGGAAATAATGTCAATGAGATAGAAACTAAGGATTTTAGTGACTATCTCTTTGATACTGGAGTGACTGAAATGAAATCAGTGGGGAGAGAGTATACTTGGACAAATACTCATATCTATAGCAAAATTGATAGAGTATTGGTCAACTCAGAATGGTGTATCAAATATCATCACTTGGAGGTTAACATGAACCCAAATTTTTTAGAATTCCCCCTTATGTATCAAGTTTGAAGAAGAACTACATGGAGGACCTAGGCCTTTGTGATTCCTTAATTGGTTAGATGAGCATGAGAATTTCCTACAGGAAGTGGCAGCAACGTAGAATCAAAGAAATAATGGGACTGGTATGAGTAAAGTCTGGCAGAAGCTGAAAGCAGTTAAATAGGAGATGAAGAAATTGAATCGAGCATAATTTAATGGGGTAAGCGAGAAAATGAGTCGACTAAGACAATAACTAGCAGACATGCAAACTCAGATGAGGGGACCTAGGCATATATTATTTGATCAGGAAGGAGCACTAAAATCAGAGCTTGAGAAATGGAGCAATATTAAGGAAAGTATATTCAGTCAGAAAACTAGAATACAATGGCTAAAACTAGGAGACTCAAATAATATTTTTTTCTTTGCTAACATGAAGAATAATACACAAAACAAGATCATGAATTTAATCAATGCTGAGGGGAACATGGTGCAGGATCAAGAAGGTATAAAAAGTGAAGTACTGGGTTCTATGGAAAGTTACTGGGATCTGTTGCTACCCAACTACCAGCTGTAAATCCCATGATTATGAATGAAGGAAGAGTACTGAGCAGAGAACATCAATTAGCCCTCATTGCACCTGTAACTACAGATGAAGTGGTCCAATCTCTCAAAGATATTGACGACCTTAAAGCACCAGGGTATGATGGTTGCAATGCCTGTTTCTTTAACAAAGCTTGGTCTGTAGTAAGAGAAGAGATTACTAAGGCAGTGTTGGAATTTTTTGACACATGGGTCATGTACAAAACCATCAACTGCACTACCATAACACTGATCCCAAAGGTACAAAATCCAGCTAGAATATCTGAGTTTAGGCCCATCTCTTGTTGTACGATATTGTACAAGATCATCTCTAAAATACTAACACATAGAAATCAAGATGTAATGAATGATGTTGTTGATCCGAGCCAATCAGCCTTTGTACCAGGGAGAGTGATCACAGACAATATTATAATGAGTCATGAATTAGTAAAGGGATATGAAAGGAAGGGGTATCACCTAGGTGCTTGTTGAAGATAGATAGGCCTATGACTCAGTTGAGTGGTGTTTTATAGAACTGATCCTCGCTTATATTCACTTTCCTACTAAATTTGTACAATGGGTGATGGCATGTACGAGTTCAGTTTCATATTCAGTCAACATAAATGGGTACCCCACTGCCCCTTTCCCTACCAAAAAAGGATTGAGGCAAGGTGTAATGACCCTCCCAGTCATTTTGAGAGTAATAGCCCAAATCCCCTATTTACTGCTTCTCCCATATCTATTCCTATTATTGTGACTTGCTGGGAGGTTTCGTTTTGGTTTTTGAAGTGTTTGGGGACACTTAATCCCTAAATAGAGGTTTAAGCCTTAGGATTTGGACCATAGTCGGAACTGTATTAAGATGACTCCGGAATAGAATTCTATTGGTTCCATTAGCTCCGTTAGGTAATTTTGGGTGTAGGGGCGTGTCCGGATTGTGT